GACTGAAAATGGGCTGTTCAGGGCCAGCAAAAACATAAGACAAAAGTTACATTACAAAGGATACATAGATAGGACGAGAAACAAACGTTATTTGGTATGTATGCTTCGTATGCGATGAATGAAACCAAGCAGCACAGCATGGTTTTTCTGTGTCCATAATTTTCTTATTTGCTATCCTGCTCTTCCTGACGCCACATTTACGCTCGAGGTTAAGCAGCCTTCATGCTAACGACTTCGGTGAGCTGGCTTGGGAGAGGAATCAACGTCTGCGAGACCAGCCGGTGGGTGCACCCGTCAGCTATGAAGTGGGATATTGACTTGTGCCTGTTCACTAGAACATGCGGTACAAGTTCACTAGAACGTGAGTACATGACGCGATCAGAAGTGTTTGTCGAATAGTCCTATGATGACAACATCGACCAGGTCTCGAGCTCCAGCAATCTCGGAAGAGGTCAGGCTTGTGTGTCTACCTTAATACAAACAAGCCATGCTGAAAAAACCGCGTTTGGTTATAGGCGGATGATTCGTTTATTGCGATCTAGTCGTCAAAGTCTTGCTACTGGACCACATGCGCGTGCGCCAGCAAGTATATGATGACGGTGAAGGCTTTGGCTGTAATGTGCCACCACAGTTTGGCTCTGCTTAGTTAGAAAAATTAAGCACTCATTTATGAATAAGCATCGAACGAATTCGCAATATGTACAATAGCAGGGAATGGAAGCCGCAGTAAATTGACTGGCGAAGCACACTATGACATCAGAGGACTAGTTAAGCTTTTCAGTTTATTACTCCAGCCTCAAAAATACCTAAGCAAATGATATATATTTTTAAAAATTGATCTTTGCGATGTTGGATAACATCATTTCAGGATTTTTGAGCGTGAAGACCTAACATTAATTACGTACACGTATAGCAAAAGTTAATGACGTCAAATTCCGTAATCTAATGATAAGTTCTCTGAATGTCGACTCGACATTATTGCTCTCCGGGACAAAGTATGCCGAATGCAGCGAATACCTATCTAAGAAATAAACTTATCTGACCCTTAAAGAAACTGAGAACTCAAAGATCTTTCTCAAAACGTCCACAAATTGTATCCAGCGTTGCGGCCATCATATGGCGCTCTCAAAGAAATTTTAGCTCGCGAAAACACTGCAAGCCATGTGTGCAGTTTGATGGTGACAGCTTAATTGAGAAGCGTGGTCTTTAGATTGTGAACAAGGAATGTGCATTTCAAGTGCGGATAATTTACCAATTTTTACATTCAAACCGGAAAGAGATATCTTTCTCATGCTCGTGGGCAAGTGGATTTCTGGGCCCCCGAACGGCCAAACGAAAAGTAGTTATCTAAAAGCTGGATTTCCGCAAGGATTATGGTGGCCACCACCACTGACGTCGGTGGGGCCCGAGCCCCAGGAACTTTTGGGCTTAACCAGTTTTGTGTTTTGACCGTACACAATGCTGCTAAAACACAAATGCACTCAGCAACATTTCAGGCATGATCTCGTCCATGGCAGGGGTAAAAGTCTCGTCGACGCGTCAAGTCATACAGTTCGCTTCGAGTGATTCACACTGGATTTATAAGTACTTACATACGATATCTTAGCATGTGATCAATCAACTCTCCAGCGGCTTGGAAGACCATGTACATCTTAAACCAGTCGCTTGCAGCTCCCGAAGTTCCCAGGAAAAGTTTGTTGGACTGCGTTTTAGGATTGATGGGCCATCAGTGATTACCGCAGTTGTCCATCGTGTAATCTGTCATTTTGTCTGTAATACCGATGACACTCCCTTAATGCATGCATGACACGAAAAAGTGCTGTACACTGGTGTGAACGAAGCGATGCCTGTCAGTTAAAAGTCATTCCATGAAGTCGCACTGTGCCAAAAGGATCCGGGCAGTTTTTTATAGTTCCTTCCAGTTGAGCAGCGGAGCAGGGTTCATGGCTGCAGTTTGCCTTTGATCTCATGCGACAGCGGTTGCCGCAAGCGAGCTTGGCTTGGGCGTCTCGGCGCTCTCACTTACCAGACAACGCACACCAAGAGGCATAGTTTACACGAAAGCAAAAGCATCCACGCAAGCTCAACTTAAGAACTCGTGCTTTACAAAAAGTGAACTAATGTTTGTCCTGATTTTTAAAGAAAAATGCTTTAAAGAAACCTGGACGAAGTAGCAAGTAATGCTGCCAAATCGCGCTTCAAATTTAAGTTAAATCACGACTGTTGCTTGTCTTCTACTATTTATGGCTTTGTGGTGGACTGAAAATGCAGACATCGTCGTGGGATTGGCTACACAAACCCCAGCCTCACAGCTGCATGCTAATATAATCTAAAACGTTTTTGACAAGGGTATTGTAATGAAAGACCTGACGATATCACGTATCCAAAAGATAGCCTTTGTGTTTTCGTAGCTTAGAATGCTACGGCATCGCCGCGTATCATTGTTGGAAATCGCCTGCGATTCAATCAAATGCTCACACAACGCACATCGCATTTAATTACATCATCTGTGCGCTTCGAATCAGCTTATCATATATGGCAATTGCAACTGAACATCGTGCTTAACGGTTAAGTACATATCGATTTTTTTATTTATATTTGACGGTTAAGTCATGATATGAAGTCGAATGAAGACGGCTAACTCTCGATAGCTGGACTGCCTCGGGTCCTGTCGCTCGCCAAAATCGTGATCAGATGGCCAAGAGCATTTTGTTTTGACAAGCTGAACCATCGGTCCTGCTAACGATCATATTTGCCCGCAGATTAGCACGGGCAATACGTCAGTCACTAGATCCCAATGAACTAGCGACATGCATATATATATATATATATATATATATAA